GGGAATGAGATGTTATCATCCTTGTTTCTTATGCAGCCAGGACCTGGCCAGGCTGCGGGGTCTAGGACTGCTGAGTGCACCAGGAAGCTCCCATGTCCCAGTATGGACACTCTCATGGTCTACTGCCTTACTTCTATGAGATGCATGAAAGATCCTACTAAAAGCAAAGAAGTGAAATAGATGGAACCCTGTGGTCTCTTTCAAATTGTACATCTTCACATTTCTGTGTCTTCCTCTCAAGGTGTTTCCATACAAGAACTCAGGTGGACAGATGGGCTTATCAGCTCTCCAGCCCTTCACATGCACCAATAAAACATTCCCTTCTTCTGACATTTGACCTTCTGCATGCTTACAAAATATTGCCCCTGTTTTCTTTTTTTTTACTTTAGATCTGTCTTTTGAGTCAGTTTGGCTCTGTTTGACTGATTCTCCTTTTGTTCATTCACCATTTTGGCTGCCTTTCTTATTCTAAAAGGAACATAATGGGAAAAAACATTTGGGGCTTTTCTGAGACATGGACATTTTTTTGCATACTTTTCTTTAAATTCTTAAAAGCCACACTGAGAATCCAATCTGTGCTTTCATTCTTGTGAAGATTTTTTTCATGGGATAACACTGAGCTGGAACAACTCATGGGATCTCATCTGGTCCCCACATTCCCATTCAAATTTGTACAATGCGTGAGTTCAGCTATGACTTTTGGTATGGCCTGACCTCTAGCAGAGACAGAGCTCAAAAAGACTCCCTCTGTCCCACCCCTCCAAGGTCAGGCTAATCTCTGCTAACCAATACCATATAAAAAATTAAATCAGTTTTGCTCTTAATCAAAGGGCTGAGAAGGCAGCTACCACCTGTGAAATAATCCCCCAGTGGCCATGTAGTAGTTATGAAAACTGTTACGTACCTCTGCTGTGTATGCAGATTTTGAAAGACAAAATCCCCAATGAAGGAATGACTCTATACACATCATCAGCCTCTTCCCCTCAGGTTTCTTGAGACTGATAGTTTCACTTCTGTTGCTCTTAATTTGCTCATCTTTAAAAGGGGAAGAAAAAGAAAACACTAATGATCATTGGTTTGAAGTTCTTTACAATTTTGTACAGACTGCAGCAGAGTCACATCAATAGCTTGGCCTGTTTGAGTCTGGAACATTGTAAAAGTGTCTTCTGAACTGCACTTCAGTGTATCAGAAACAATTCCTAGAGTCCACAGCCCAGGGTTTCGTCAAAGCCAAATGGCCAATTGAAACATCTCTGGCTTTTGCAATACTGAAATGCAAATACTTTTCAGCTCACTTCCTTAACAGCAGGTTACGTTAACCAGACAAAGCTTTTAAAAGGCAGCATCTAGCAGAATGCTGATGCCTTTGGCTTTGTGGCATTGCATCACATGAAATCACCATCGGGATCAGAGGAGAAGAGGGTCAAATTCTGGGGAGAGCCATGTTGGAGTTTCTGGAGCTGTGTGACACAATGTCATGCACTCCACATGCTCCCTGGGCTAACTGCCCACCATCGGCATAAAGATTCCCATTGGGGAAAGCCCAAGATAAGCTACAATCTGTGCCAGCATAGTCATCAGAATCAGACAACAACAACAGAGGCTTTTGTCTTAGAGCACTGTTGAAATCTGCCTTGGACTAGCCACGGGGAATGAAAGGGGCAGAGGGTGTTGGATCTCCCTCATACTCCGGGTATAAACTGGATTCCCTGCCAAGCTGGGATATATGGTGGGGTTTAGCTGATCAAGCTACCCTACTTAGAGGATAGTTTGCTACTCAGGTGCCACTCAAAGCATCATGCTAGAGGTCTTTCCCTGGAGCTCAAGGAAGGACCGTTCCTACAGATCAGATGAAAGATACAGATCTGATCCCATTCTGGGAGAACACATTAGTGATCATTCCCAGACCTCGCCTTCACTCCCAGGGCTACACTTCTTGTATTGTGAATTTGAGACTGATCCTGCCATTGTTACTTGGGTAAATATTCCATTTATGTCAGTGACCCAGATGGTGCAGTTTCTCCATAGGAAAGGCGCCAATTTACCCCAATCTGGAAGTTCATTTTTAAGTAATGAGTTTCCTTTTGATCAGAGGATGACTTGAATATTCATTTGAGTAGGGACTGGCTGAGGAAGTCAGGATTTGCCCCCTCTGTAGCTAAGAGGTATGTTTGGTGTAAATATATCTTTGCATGGTTCTTAAAAGATGCTATTTGTGTCAAAACCTTTTTTCTGAACATCATCATATGTACAAAAAAATTACAATGTTACTGCTAAAGCAACCCCCTGGATTAAGTCCAAGGCTTCTGCCTTCCTAATCTCTTGATGTTCTGAGTTAGCCACAATATCCACAAACATTCTGAATTAAACACCGAGAACAATTCAAATTTGATTTTTCTTAGGAAACACTGGCTTAACTAGGATTCTTGCTGTGCTAATGATGTGCTGGACTATGGGCTCCCTTCTCTGGCCTGATCCTTTTTACTGGGCAGAAGCAATTAGATGCCATATAGGAGCAGTGTTTGTCCATGCAGGATAGGCATTGCTCTTTATTTTCACACTTGCACTTTGCAGTGTCATGCTCCACATCTGCTATCAGCAAGAACGCCTCCTACTGTGTATGTACTCATCTTGATGGTAAAACAATTACTGTGGACATGAAAGAGCAGAGTCATTCTCCAGTGAAGCATGTAGCTATTTTGAAGGAGGCAAGTACTGTTTTCTTGATACAAGACACACTACAGATAAAAATGTATTAGGTATAATTCAGGAAAAAGAAAGGGGAAAAAACAAACAAACAAAAAAACAACAAGGTTTTGAGAACTTCTAGCTTGTATTTCCCGACTTTTCTGGAATATAGACGGACAGTTTAGGAGTATGGTGTTCTGCTATAACACGTTCTCTGATCTCCTTTTACTTTCAGAAGAAGAATGTTTTCCTGATAAAAACAGCAAAGCAGCTCCCATCGTGGTGGGCCTGAGTATCCTGGGATTGTTTGTCATTGTGTTTGCCACGTTCCTGATTTCCAGAAGAAAGCCGCATAGAGGATACGAACGTATCTGAGGTGCCCTTGTACTTCCAAATGTATGTAGCAAGTAGAGAAGTCACAGGCTCTTTAGCTTCTACCTGGCAATCTCACTGCCCTGATGACATATTTTTAAGTGGGATGACACCATATGTTTAAAGCTAATGAATATTTCTGGAAGTGATTTCTTTAAGATGGGAAGGAGAGAACTCACACCGTCTACTTCAGGCTATTCTTAGCATCTAATTTAGATGTAGTCCAGAGGACCAAAGTGAGGAGCCTAAATTCTTTATATTACCAACAAAGGAGGCAATTCATGCACCACCTAAGTCAGATGCCTAAAAATAGCTTAAAGTAGGCAGGATCACTATCCCCCAGAAAATCCATCAGGTTTCTTAAAGATGACGTTTGGATTTATTAAAATAGATGAGTCCAATGATAAACCTTGAAGTGAATAAACCAGAGGTCCACAGCTACAGACACCCCTCTTAAATCAGAGCTCAGTGAAAGCCTTGTGGGAACACTGAGTGTGCTGAAGTCTCAGGCAAGTGTGAGTGTGACTTCCATTCATAAGCAAGTTCCCACTCATCCTGTAAATATCAGGGTTACATTTCATAAATTGTTGTTTTTTCTACTAAACACTTCAGAAGAACACAGTGGTAATATGTGACTCTGGCTCTGGAGGCAGTATTTTTAGAAAATTTTCTAGTTTTCAGTGACTCTGTATGCAGATAAGACAAGATTACCCAACTGAGGTCGTACGGGGTCTGCCTGACCAGTATGTGCCAAAATTATCACTTGTCATTGCTTGTCTCAGCCCTGCTGCAAAGATGTCTGAGCTTCTTACCAACGATTCTTGAAGTGCAGCCTCATAAAGCACAGTACATTAGAGCAATCTGACTTTGGTAAATTTATCCTGAAGTGTTATTCTGCAAACTGCACAATTCAGGAGCTGATTGACCGGCAGCTGAGGGCAGGCATTTGGAGGCAGTAACTCCATCCATCTTCCACGCCAGGCCAAGCTATTCCACTTGTCAACCAGTGCTCAAGGCACAGCATCCTTTTGCCACATGTTGGCAACACAGCGTGCAGAAAGCTGTAACATGAGGGTCTGAAAGCACTGTGACGCATGGACTGGTGCTAAGGATGCTGGTGCAATAGATGGAGCCTGGGGTGAATTTGCTTCATAAATTCAAGGAGCTTAATATTTTGTGGTTTTATGAGAGCTCATGGATCACCCACTTCCTATTCAGGCAGGGACCTGTTACAGCGACTGTTACCAATAACTGTCCCACTACTCAGATGGCAGCACTGTGATCTCTCTTAATCCGGGAAGATTCTGCTGACCAAAAATGCCGGGGATTAAGTGGCCACCATTGTGGCAGAGCTGCACAAGGTCCATCAGGAAATGGAAATCCACTGACACTGTATGTTAAAGGCTTCTGTGCGAACTAGAAGCTTGCACAGGCCTTGGACAAACTCTCTGCCCAAAAGTGAATGCTATCCAGCGTGCTTGCAGCTGGATTTTCGTATGGAAATAATCTGGAGTTGCTTTAAAGCACATTAATTGCAACACTGTAGGCTGTTTCATGCCCTTAAACCAATGATGAAGGCATGACAGTAGTAATTGCTTTTGAGATTAAGTTCAGCTAATGTTCTTTGTTGTGACAAGGAAAATCTCCTTGTCACAGAAGATTTACAAAGCTAAACATATGCACAAATGTGCACATGCTCACATGTGCACACACTGCATACAAATCTGTTCACTGCAGCAAACAACATCAAAATTATAAGAAATTATATATAAAAACATTCACAAAAGAGAAAATAAAATTAAATAAGAGCACACTTTCCCCCTTAGGAGTTAGAGTGACAAATTCTGCCAATAACAGTTTTGCCTGGAAAAGGACTGTGGAACAGCACCCATTAAACAAAAGACTGAAGTAATCTGCAAAAACTCCTTGTTGTTGGTTTCATCTGGATCTAAACAAAATAGAAATGCTGGGAGATAATTTCATTCAGATTAGTAATGGCCCAAATCCTGAGTGGTGATGGGACCTCACTGGATTTTCACTGGGTAAAACTGATGATAATATCTGTGAGTTTAATTTCCCTTAAGTATTTTTAAAATAGTTTTGATGTTTTACTAGTATTTAACCATTGAGATTTTACTTATTTAAAACAAGAAAGAAAAGAAATCCTTCCATTCCATGCATTACTAGAAGATGCTGGTCTGTGTCAAGTAGAAACATGGTCATACTCTTCCATAATCGACATATAATACGTAGCTGTGGATGTAATTAACAGTCTCCAGAAATGTTCGCTTTGAGTCTGTGTGAACCAATAAATAAGAAAGATAAAGACAATTTTGAAGCACTCTTGTGCTTCGAGAAGCGTAAGACAGAAGTCAGAACCAGCTGCAAGCAAGGGAGGCAGGTGAATACGATTGTAAGGTGAAGTAGCACAAGAAACAATACCAAACTTTCAAACCTTTAATACAGACACAGTGATTTGAACTGTATTCAGTTGAATACTCAAACTGAAATTTGAGTGTTTCGATCATTATTTTGTAAAAGGCTCCAGCTCTGTCAATATTGCTTAGCGAACTTTAGCTTATTTTCGCCCTTTCTCCATTCCCCCGCTTAGTGGGCAAGCAGCACACTGAACTCAGCTCAGGCCCCTGGGTGAGTAAGATCCCTCTAGTTCTCAGGGTTAGTTAATACTATTAATCTGTTGTTTAGAAAGTAGATTTTTATACTTGATTAAAGGAATTCATTTTTTTTAAATAAGAGAATTGATGAGGTGTCCAGCAGGGAAGGTAAATATATGTATGCAAGAGCTTCCATTTGAAAATGAGCATAAGTGTGCGATAGTGATGTTACTGACCCAAACTCTTTCGTGTGGACATTTTAACAACAAACAGTGCCTAAAAAGCTCAGCCCCGCACATGATCAGCTGTTTTGACTAGTGGTCAATAGATGTCTTTCCCATTCAAAACTAAGTCCTGTTTCACATGTTCTTTGGATTGCGAGGTTGCACCATCTGTACAGTTTGTTACTTCTACTGATATGCATATAGCATTTTCTTGTTATGTTCTATACTGAAAAATCTCTTTATGTTAGTATTCAGTCTTTCAACGTTTGATATCAACATGAGGAAAGAAAACTGTCCTTAATGACTGATAATTCTGTGTTTAATCTTTTGACACCCTCTGGCATTTTTACTGATGACGCAAAGTTAATTTTTTCCCTCTACTTTTTTCTTTCTACAGTCAATCAAACTGTTGGTATTGAACTATCTTTGGATTCAGGTTTACCTGATTTGTTCTCATGCTTTTCATTGCTATTCTTTCCTTGCTGTTTTTATGAAGCTGCATACTGCCCTTTCTACAAGAATAATGCTCTGGGCTTGCTCTAACCGGCACAGATGAAGTGCACGTGGTACAAACCAATGAAACAATTGAAAGCTCCTGTGAAATGCTGCCAACATGCAGCAAACTGAATCCAATGGAGTTAGTACTTTACAGTGGCAGAGGATCCATTGGAGAACTCCTTACTGCATCAGGAGATCCCAACCCCTAAGTGCAACCTTTCTCCTACCTGCAGCCCAGCCTGGATGCCATCACCTCCTTCCCTGACCACAAAAGACGAGCAGCCTGCAGCAGGGATGCGTGTTGGCATGCCAGCGTAGCAGGGAGTGCTGCCTCTCTGAATTTAACATTGAATTGCAACCAGACAGCCCAGCTGCTCCCCGAGTTGTCATGTGCAGCTTTTAGAGCTGATGCCTGTTATTTACTTTCTGCCAGAATTTAGGAAGATATTTGGCTGATGCTTTTTTGTCTAATGGAGTTGCTTTGAGGTCCTCCTCCCAGTGGGAAGACTCTATAGGTGAATTGGTCTTGGTTGGCAGACTTTCTCTTTCAAACATCTTGTCCGAGGAAACATTTTGAGCAAAAAGTCCCTAAAGGAGCACCATACAAAGAAGAGGCTCTTATGATAAATGAGTTCTGCACCAGGTGGCCATAATAGCGATACCATAATGGGCAGCAGTGGCACAGTTTCTTCACTTTCTGTCGGTATGGTTGTAAATGAAAATAGGATTTTCTAAGCCTGGCAGATCACTTCCCTTCCAAGGCTGCTCTTTGCTGTAGTCAGACTCTTTTTCAGCAACCTGCTCGCTCCTTGGGACAGGGATTTACCAACTAAAGTGCCTGAAGAATCTGCATGCCAAAAACCTTCATATGGTCAGCATGAGGCCATGCACCCAGAGAGCTGAGAGGAGAGCACAGTCTTCTGCGGGAGGGGGCAAGGTGGCAACTGGGTCCCAGAGCAACCACCAATGTTGGTCTCAGCAGCCCCAGCTCACTTTTTCCCCTAGTTGTGGGCTCAGATCAACCCGTCCCCAAACCAGAAGATACTGATCATGATGACATGATGCATCCTATCAGGGAAGCTATGCTTAACTTGCTTGCAAGTGTGTGCTGGTCAGGATATAGTGGGGCCACTCTCAGATACTAGGAGGTGAGCACATCCCTACAGCTCCCTGATGCTCTGCTGCAGCTCTTACCCCAGACCATTCACTATGATCTCTTGCAGACCCAAGGTACACACAAGGGCATCCCATGAGCATGATCATGTCATACTTAGCCAAATCGCTAAAGAGTTTATAAAGCAAGATTTTTTTTTTTTCAGTCCTTTTTGCTCTCTGATGGACAAACAAAGTCAAATTAAAAAAAACAGCTGTTATTTCTGGTTGAAAGAGGAAGGGAGATGTAGGTTAGCTTCTTGAGTGTATGAAGATGATTTTGTTGATCACTTCTAGCTTGCTATAATAAGTGGTTGCTAAAAATTAATTTGCTATGAGAAGTAAGATATGCTTTTTATTTTTCTATTATTGGTGTTTCTATAATAAAGGTTGTATTTAGTCATTGAAGTGTGCATTGCTGTGCAGTTGTTTTATCTCTTGAGTGCTGTTTCACCTAAACTGTTTAAAACACAAGTACAATCTAACAAACAGGCAGGGTTGCATGGGCTCTGGA